ATGTCATCTGTATGCATCATGCCCGATACAGGGTTGGCCCTCTGTCTTTGATACTCAATCTCTCTCTAAATACCATCCTTTCAGCCATCATCCTGAACTGGCCCTCCGCCTCCCCCGCCTCCTCTCCCTCCTACGACCCGACCACCTTCACGCTCGGCGTCCTGCCCGTCCTCCTCGCCTCTCTCACATCGGGTACGGTAACGAAGGGGATGAATCTGACGCTTGCGTAACCTCAGCATCTCCTACAGGCGGCCGTCATGCCCACTCATTCCTTAATCCTCTCCCCGCCCATTTTTTCCCCCTCCAGGAGTATGTGCTGCCCTCACGCAAAAGACTTTGCAAGGCGCCTCTCGCAACAGCTACCTCTTCTCGGCCGAGCTTGCCCTTTACGGCCAAGTCTGCCTGTCCGTGATCGTCGTCAGCAAGTACTTTTTTTCTTCCCCAGGTGGGTGCATTTCCCATCGTTGTCCAGGGTTTGCTATCTTTTGCTGGGTTCTTGATTTGTACGCCGTTTCTATTTTTCCATGGCTGCCTATGTTTGCGCATGTTTTCCTCGGAGAAGACTAACCACTTGGGGGGGACCGATGCCTCGCCTGGAAAGCACTCTCTCGGACGGAGCTCTCTTCCTTCGACTTTGCGTACTTGGCAAATGCTGCACGTCCATCACTTCAAACTGCATCATTTGTCACCGGTCATTTTTTTCTTTCAAAATTTTTGTTACATTACTCATTTATTTCCTCCATCCCCTGATTATTGAGTAATGGCTTCCTTCTTTTCAGAGGAAAAATCATTCTGCTCATAAAGACGTGTTCTGCGAATGTTCTGATTGCGACTTTTATGCACAGGTACCTCCTCGCTCTCCTTGCCGAAGAATTTGAGCCCTCTTGCTCTTCTACCTGTCGTCATCAATGCCGCAGGAGGCATCATTGTTGGTCTTGTCACCAAATACGCGGGAGGTAAGAGTCGAGAGAGAACCACCACTCGGATTGCAGAGGACATGGGACAAAGCCGATGTAAAAGTTTTAAACGTATCTCTTTACATTTGGGGGCTATGTATAGGTGTAAAAAAAGGCTTTGCACTGATTGCAGGCATTGCTTTAACAGCTCTCTGCCAGTCAATGATGCAGCGTACCCCGCCCTCCCGAGGCCATCTTCTTGCTGCTTGCCTTGTCGGATATTCCACCTTTCTTCACGCGAAGTACAATGATGCCTGGTATGTGGAACGCGCGAAAACTCGGAAATCAGTAGAAAAGAATGAGTAAGAAACGACTATAGCGCGGAAGACTGTGCGATGCTACGAATATCTTGAAGAAAGTATTGAATAGATGAGCTAGAAATTACGTGTGAAAACCAGCATGTGTATTTTTGCTTATGTGAGCGGCCGTCACAGAGGTCTTTCTTGCACCATTTCTCGACATTATTTCTTTTTTGCGAAATTTAGTTCATAATGGTTTAAATAACCGTTACTCAGCCAAACCGTTAGTTGACTCTGGAAGAGTTGTCGCTGCGTCTGTTCCATGTCCTCTTTGCGAGTGAAAGCGGCTCCTGTATACGATATCCCGGCTTGATTCACAATTTTCCACAATATAATAGGCTTCTGACATGGCAGAGTGCTTACTGAGTGCTTTTAACGAACCAATTCAATTAATTGTACTCTCTGGAACAAACAGCCAGACCCTGAACCTCCCACATGCTCTTGATGACTTCTGCCATGATGAATTCCGCTCGCTCACAGAGCCTTTTCCATTGAAAGATAGATACATACTGATAAGACACAAATTGATTATTGTCTTACCGTTCACCCCTCCCGAATTATTTTATCATTACAGATACGCAGGCACAGATTGGCATAGCTGGGTCCCGGTTACAAGGGACCGCATTGTGAACTGTCTAAGCCGCGCATGGTCGCTTTTCACCCTTAAATATGGGGAACATCACAAGCAATTTAGCTTTAGATAATATCTACCCCGCAGCTACGACCACACAACCCGATGATATTGCAGAAAGAGATAGGGATAGCAACGTGGGAATCGCCCCCATCGAAGAGGATCGTAAAAATGACTGTATTCCCGCCACTCCGCAACCATCAGCCCTTCCTTCCTCCGCTATGCCGTCCATTACTCTGCCATCATTACCACGCGAGTCTCAAACCTCACATCCCGTCGTCTGTTCACCATCTAGCCCCACCAGCCACGAACACACTCCCACACCATGTAATCAAATTCAGAGCATACCGCTTCCCAAGAGCACCCCCCCCGCGTACCACGACCCATCGGACGAAGAAGAGGATGACGAGGAAGAGGATGGGATACAGCACGCACATACATGCGCTGTCTGGTTGCGCCGTCAAGGGCCTCGGAGCGTCAGCTCGGCTGCCTCCGTGGCGTCATCTACCCCCTCCCAACGTTCGGACCCCGTTCTCTCCCCTAAACCGCATCCTCCTCATCAAGAATCTTTTTTACATCCAAATGTTGCAACGGCTTGTCCACTCAACTCGCCGCACCTGCTAGCCCTGCCTTTGCGGGCGAACATGGCCTCCAAACCAGGGTATGGGGAGGAAGGCGTGGAGAAGAAAAGTGGAAGGGAAAGGCCGGAGGAGGGGAGGCTGTATTCTCCGCATTACACCATCACCTTCGATAATGTCGAGCAGGAAAAAGTAGACGAGAAAGAAGGGCGGGATCGGGATGAAGCGAGCCAACCTCCCACGGGAGGGCGGAGCCCCTTCCTTTCCATGTCTCTTAGCTCTCCTTTTCGCGCCTCGCTCAGAAGGCATGTGCATGCATTCGCGACCCCCATGCCAGCCGTCATGAATCCTCCTGCCAATGCCCACACTTCGGTGAGGGCAGCAGTGCGTGCGCTAGTGGCGTCAAAGCCGGGGAGAAAGGAAGGGGAACGAGGGGAGGAGGGACGAGGGGATGGGGAGGGAGCGAGGACGAACCGAAGGCCCCGGGGGGGAAAGGGCGAACAATCGGACGCGGGCGAGGAGGATGCCGAGGAGACCAAGG